TCCATTATCAGAACCATATATAGTCAGTATGTATAGAAGTTCAGAAGGCATGTAACCTTGTGTTATCGTAATAAACTGGATAAGCTATAGAAGTATTCTCTCTCAAGTGTCGAGGTGATGCATCTTTATTAATAAGATGTGCTTGTTTTAGCTGATATTACCAAATTAATTTTGTAGTTTAATTTGATCCAAAGTTGGCTGCTTATTCAACTGTGTATGTCGCCCCATTGTCAATCCATTTATTTGTAACCATGTTAAGAAAATATTGACAATATTGCATGTGAATTATCCCATAAATGCAGGGATAAAGTAAAATTACTAATTTGCAAAAATATACACTCTATTAAACCGATTGATCATGCATGTGTTGTGTGACTAAAGTTCTGCCAAACTTTCCAATATGTGAATTAAATGTGGTTCCATATACCCAGGGTTGGCAACAGTTGCTCGATGATCTCAAAGAACGGTACTTGTACTCACCAACACGTTCAAACAAAATATGCAAGCAGGTTCATACTAAAATGCTTAGACTTGCATAGTCCATGGCCAGTAGCTACACACTCCCTCCCTGGTATACATGCATGCCACAGGGAAATTAATTTATTAGTGCCAAAGCTCCTAAGAGGAACTCTAGCAAATTTCTTAAATAGCAGGAATTGACCGTGCCGTGGTGTGGTTAGGGTCAGGCCCTGATGAGGTCATCAAACTTTGTATTTGTGATGGTAGCGAGGCTACGTAAGTAATATACGTAATTTCTTGCAAAAAGGCACATTTCAAAAACTTAAAGAATCTAGAACAAGTTTGCAAAGTCAGACTCTGTAAAACTACAACTTTCATATTTTTCTTGGCGCCCCCCTCCCAATCACGCCACCACACTCTCTCATCCCTCCGGCTGAGCGAGCTTGCCACAGACCCGTCGCGCCCGAATAGACCGTGTATGAAGCTCCTATGCCTCAAGTGCGATCTTTTGTAAGACGGTAGGGTGCTAAAAAATTGTGGCAGGCCACAAGTAAGGAAAAGAAGCCTACACTAGACCAAGAGAGTGTGGTTATGCCTAACAAGTGGTGTCGAAAGGTGTGATTTTCATCGGAACATGCCCTTAATCATGGATGGTTTGACTTATGAAAATATTATTATAAATATTAATTATTAAAACATTGGGCTCCAACGTACATAATAATACCCTCGCTAAGTCCATGCAATCTCCTTCGCCTCCCCATGGCGTGTACTCCCAGCGCCCCCTCCGTCTTCACCTCGTGTCATGTTCTCCAAACATCTACGGTTTATATCCTCTCCAACAAGATCCCCATTCCCCTCCGCCCCAAACCCCCCAACCCCCGTCGTCTCCCTGTTGATCCCATCTCTTCTTCTGCACCGCATCACCTTCCTCTAACACCATCCCCGATGGTGATCTCCTTGTGGCACACGCCAACTCATGTGGCCTCCCCGACTAGTGCTGCCATCCCGGGGTTATACTGTTGGGTCTCCTGATACGTCTCTAACATATCTATAATTTATGAATTATTCATGCCATGTTTAAAACAATTTTATATGTTTTTGGTATGATTTGATTAGAACTAACCCAGATTGACGCTGTTTTTAGCAGATTTAACATGGTGTCGTTTTTTGTGCAGAAATAGAAGTTCTCAGAATGGGCTGAAAATTTACGATGTTTTTTATGGATCAAAAGAGACCACTGAAGCACTGGAGCTAGGCCAGGAAGTGGCTGAGGGATCCATAAGCCTAGGCCCCCCGAGCTTGTTGGCCCTTTGGGCACCCCCTCTGGCGTGAGACCGACGCAAAAAATTCTTCTAAATACCCCTAACATCTCTCTTCCTCTTTCTCCCGCTTAAAGTTGGAGGTCGAGCTGCGTTTCAAGCACGCTGCAACCGCTTGAAGATGGATGAGACGCGGACTTATAGAAGGGTGGCATCAGAAGTGGGATGAAGGCAATGGTGCGGGGCAGGGGCACATGGCAAGGGAGATGATAAATACCGGCATCTTTATTCCGAGTCAATACCCTGTCTGGCCATATTCACCACTCTCCAATTGTGCGATCGCACCCGCGCGCGCACCGCAGTGAGAGAGAGCCGACACATAGGTGTGAACCGACCACACATTTACTCCCTTCCTGATTATCGCCATTATAGGCCTCTGATCGAGCTTTTCTACCATCAAGCAAGCACGGGGAACCGGATATCATGCGTACCGGTGCTGGTTTGTGCGTCCATCCATTCAGTAGATTGTGTGTCCCTCCGTCCCAAAATAAGTGTCTCAATCTTAGTACAACTTTGTACTAAAGTTAGTACAAAACTGAGACACTTATTTTGAGACAGGGGGAGTAATTGTTACCGGTTTGCATTTTTTTTTGTTAGGGGACCTTAAGCCAAAAAAATGCTTTTGGAGGCCTCCATTTGCAATTTTCAAAATTCATCAAGATTCATATTTTTAAGTTCCAAAAAATTCTGAAAAAATACAGATATATAGTGAGGCGTAGCACACGTCTATGCAAATTTTCAGGATGAAATACATTGGAATGAGGGCTGTGAAAAAAAATCCGGGGCTTTTTAGCACATGATACTATTCATTCTCAAAGTCCATGAATTTTTCTTTTTTGTACATGCCGCATTTCAACGTATTTCATTATGTACTTTTGCACACATACACATCACATCCTAGTCTACTTGTACAATTTTGTCAGATTTCTTTTAATACTAAACAGTTCAATTTTTGATTTTTTTCAGACATTTCGGCCTCCATGAAGGCCGAGCTCCAAAACGCCCCACTCACCTTAACCTCCAAATCAATACTAGTATTATTGTTTAATAAAATGTTGTGAAAAATAAGTTCAAAAAATAGGAGGTATACATCAGAAGATAAAAAAATATGTTCAGGTACGTATATAGAAATGTTCATCGTGTATTTGAACGATATTCATATGTACAAGAAAATGTATTTATGTATTTCACAAAAATGTATTTCTGTATTATATTTTTATGTATTTTTTAAAAGTTCATAGACTTCAAGAAGTTGTTCATAAAGTGTAAACATACGTTCATATACCATAAGGAAAATGTTCCTGTCTACAAAAGTCAAAAACACATAAATCAAGAAAAAGAAGTAAAAAAATGAAACAGAAAAATGGATAAAGAAAAATAACGAATAAGCATTACATGAAAAACAAAAGAAAAGAGAAGAAAATAAAGTAAAAGAAAGGACCAACTAAAACTAGTTTTAAAGAAAAACATGTATGCCAGATAGGAGCTCTTTTGTTTAGGCAAACACACCGCACTTTATTAATTCGCCAAAAAGGTAAAATTTGCGAACTTTTTCAAACACCGGAACATTTTCTCAATTCGTGAACTTTTAGAAATTGTTGATTTTTTTCCAATTTTTGAACACTTTTCAAAGTTAAAAACATTTTTCAAGTTTTTTGACTTCTTTTAAATTGATGAACATTTTTGAAAAACGATAACTGGTTTTCCTGAACGAGCGAGGAGAGTACCGTCCGAGAAAAATATATATGAAAAAACTAACAAGCAGCGACCGAGAGACTACTATTTGGGCTGTGGCCTATGAGCAAGCATTGCGAGCACCAGCTCGATCGCGGTGCCTGAAGCGCCAGATAGGAGCTCTCATAGAATTCACTATCTCAAGATGCATCCTATTGCTAGGACACCTGGGACTTAGATGCTCTGTTATGGACAAGTCCCTTAGCAGAATTCAACCTGAGCGAAGTTCGTAGCGTGTAGCACGTTGTTTCACCTTCATGGTTATCTATCCATAACGTCCCAAAGATGGGCTCAAATACCTTTTCTTAGATTCGGGCCCACAAACCTTTAATCATTGAAAGAAGGGAGAGAAATAAGGATGCACACTATATTTTGCTCGCTCCACGATCTACGACACACCTGGGCGCCATGTGTGACTTGGAAAGCCGTCTCTGGACGTTTGTATAACAATGTAAACCTTATATAACTATCATCGGGTGTGAGCTCTAAAAAATAAATCTAAAGCCCATTAGCCCTATATAAAGAAAGAAGAGACTTGCGTGATTGCCCCATACGAAGAAAGCAAAATACAAAAGAAATCAGGAGAGAGAACATATAGGCTCGTGCCATACTTCAAATCTCCTATTTGAGAACTGAAATTCCATATTGGCTTTTCTATCATACTTTGTGGGTAAACTATTTGTTGTTGGAGAATGCTTGCTTCATGTTGTGGTCATGCATGTCGATTTCGGCTACATTTCAATGGTACTTACTGCCTATGTTACCGTCGAGCCCACCATCGCTGACATCACATTTTGCATCTCCAACACATATTGTCGTGTTGTCCTAGCTCCAGAGAGGTTGTCGTTATTGCATACCGAAGATGTCTCTGTCCTATGGCGAAGTCGTTAAGTCTACACCGGATAATAAGAATTTAATGGAGCATTGTTTTTTGTTTTTTATTTTCCATAGGAAACCATAAGTTTTAGTTTGATGGGATTTTATGATTTTTTTGGTTTTTAAGGAAGCAACCAACAAACATTTGGGAAGATGATATGAGCTTATTATCATCATCATCATCATCATCATCATCATTATTACTATTATTATTATTTGTCATTGGATTCTTTTTTTGTTTTGCAGAACACTGGACTCTTTTTTACGGGTTGTCGCTGGACTCATTATAAGATGGGGATGGTCGTACATACAAGTTGATGGTTGAAATAGAGTTGTTATGTAAATTGGATGGTTAGGATAATTCTAATGACGTGGATAACATATTATTTGATTAAAAAGAGCCTCATATTACATATACATAAAAAAGATTCTGCCCATAGAACAGATGAAGGCGTGAACAGAACACGACATGACATAACAAGAGAGGGCCAAGGCGGGATTGGCCCCTTGCGACAAAGTAAACGAACATATAAGAGATGCATGTGTTGATAAGCAACCGACACAAGATGAGACTCACGTAGCTGGTCGTGCACTATGTGGATCATCTCCCTCCTACATGGGAAGGAACAAACTCGAAGACGCTCCAAGATCGGTGCCCCACTGCCAACCGAACCCCACATCAAAGGGTTGCATCATATCACCGCCGGAGTAGCCGACGCTGGAGCTGGTGCTTGTAGCCTCATGGCTACCAAAGTAGCCACTACAGACAAGAGCACTGAGGTCCCCTCCAGACCTCACCATGTCAAGCCAGCCCTCCTGCGCAGGCGGCGCCTGATTTATCGCCGGAGACCCCATGTCCATGCTGTCGATCATGTGTGGAGCCGGAGGCTGTCCCTGGAGTTTCGTGATGCGATCGCCGATGCCGTTGAGGAGCATTTCCACCTTCCAGCCAACGCTGGTGAGCTCCTCAATGTTGAGGCTGACGAGGTCGGGGAGGTTGCCGCACATGGCCTTGAGCAGGAGGGTCCTGATCTCCTGCTCCCGAAACTCACGACCGAACTTGTGTACCTGGTCCCGGAGCTTGTCGATGCGCTGACGGAGAAAGCCCTCCTGGTTCATCATCTTCTTGCACTGCTCCAGCTCTGGCATTTTCTTGAAGATGTTCAAGATTTTCACGGCCCCATCATGGGATGGGAACACCTCCGGTGTCGTCTCGCCTTCGCCATACACCAGCACGCAGGCCCTGACGTCACACAGGATGGCTAGCTCGCTGGCCTTCTTCATAAGGCCCCTACGACGCTTCTTGAAGGTACCACGTCGGGTCGAGACATTGGGGATGTACTGGAGGGTTACCTTCTTGCGAGCCATTGCCGGCCGGCCTCGAGCAAGCAAGCAGGTAACAAAGGATAAAACCGGCAAAGGGAAATTGATGGCGTTGGTGAGTTGAAAACATGGAGGAGGAGTGGTTTTATAGTGGAGGATTGGCCAGGATGAGCAGGCTACAAGATGCCGTGAAATGGTGATATGGTAAGAGATTATTGTTACAGATATGGATGAGATTGCATGATTTAGTGCTTGTTAACGTGATCGAATAGCTAGCACATCTTCAACCCCGACATGAATTGTGCCCATCTGTTCTTTGGTGTCGACTTAAAAACGTTTAACTTTACACGTTCATAACATAGGAGGTGCTAGCTAATAGCTTGATGAATACATACAGATTTTCTTTGATTACCACAGAATGCTCGGGAGGGACTTCCCTACGTACATTTACAACTTTAAGTATATACGTCCATAAGTTGATGCATGATCACACTACAAATCCTCTTTTCATAGAAATGCTCAGAACAAATCAACATGAAAATGTTCGATACAAAAGACTACCCCATTTTCCATTATAAGAACTTCAATATAAATGTTGACCTCATGATCAACAAGATTCAAGATCCATTATAAGAACCATACATAGAAGTTCAAAAAGGCATGTAACTTTGTGTTGTCGTAATAAACTGGATAAGCTATAGGAGTATTCTCTCAAGAGTCAAGAGGCGATGCATATTTATTAACATGATATGCTTGTTTTAGTTGCTATTGCTAAATTAGTTTTGTAGTTTAATTTGATCTAAACTTGGCTGCTTATTCAAACGTGCACGTTGCTCCATTGTCCATCCATTCATTTGTAACCATGTTAAGAAAGTATCAATAATGTTGTATGTAAATTATCCCATAAATGCAGGGATAAAGTAAAATTACTAATTTACAAAAATGCATACTCCATTGACCTAATTGATCATGCATGTGTTGCATGACTAAACTTCTACCAAATTTTCCAATATGTGAATTAAATGTGGATCCATATATCTAGGGTTGGCAACAGTTGCTCGATGATCCCATAAATCGGTACTTGTACTCACTGGTTCAAGAAAAACATTCAAGTGGGCCCATTCTAAAATGCTACACACTCCCTTTAACTAAAAGTTGATCCTTTATAATGGTTGAAGTGGCACCTTAAAAACTTAAAGGATGTAGAACAAGTTTGCAAAGTCAAACTCCCTAAAACTACAACCTTCATATTGTTCTTGACGCGTGGCGCCCACTTGCCAGTGTGATACACATTTTTTTTCTGTAATTTCTGCCATCTCACGGACCCCCAAACCAACCATGCCACCACATCCCCGGCCGAGTTCGCTCGCCACAAGACATGTGTAGTCCCGCTCGATCGTGAATGAAGATCCTTTGCCTCAAGCGAGATCTTCTGTATAAGATGGTAGGGTGGTAAGAAATTGTGGCATACCACAAGTGAGGCAAAGAATCTTGCACTGGACTAAGGGATTGTGGTTATGCCTAAAATGTAGTGTGGCTAGACGTGGCTTTAATCCGAACATGCCCTTAATCATGAGCGATTTGATTTATGAAAATAAGATTACCAATATTAAGTGTTAAAACGTAGCACTCTAATAACATCCTTGCCAAGTCCATCCAATTTCCTTCACCTCCCCATGTTGTGTACTCCCAGCGCCCCCTCCGCCTTCACTTGCATCGTCTTCTCCAAACAACTATAGCTTGTCGCCTCCGGCAGCATCCCATTCCCCTCTGCCCACCCCTATTAGTGTCACCTCGACGCCCACTACCTCCCTGTCGGTCCCACATCTGTTTTCGTACCGTGTCACCTTCCCCTGACACCATCTCAGATAGTGATCTCTTCGTGCCACACGCCAAATCATGTGGCCTTCCAATCGGTGCCACCATCTTAGGGTTATGTTGCCAGGTCTCTCGTGCCGCTATGTGTGCTTATACACCTAGTAATGATTCGCCCATGTGACGACTTGGTGTTGTTGTTGCTGAGTCTCTGCATTTCGGCCTTAGCGGTGCCACATGTGCTCCCATCGCCGTGCAACAATGACCTGCTCACCACGCCACAACCAAGACAGTGTTGGGCCCTTATCTTTGACAGCGACCCTGACCACGATGGTGAGGTCACTTTCTCAACCTTGCAGTTTCTGCGCCATGGTCGTCTGACCATGTTGTGGTGTCCTATATTGTTGCTATTAATTAGAATTTGTTGGATCGAATATGTTAAGAAGTTTATATGTTTATTTTTCCTAAATGTTAGTATGCTTATTTGAATGGTTATGTGTTCATGTCTCCTAAACTTTGTCATGTACTATGCTTGTTATAATTGCTACATGTCAGATATGTTATAGTTGCTATATTATTAGATTATTCATGTCAAATATGTTAGAATTGATATATGGTCATGTGTCCTAGACTCTACCTACTAGTATATGCTTCTTTGTTAAAACTCGCACAAAAATTATATTCGTATCATGTTACATGATAGAACAGATACTATGCTTGTATGTTATTATTTAATTTGGATCTTATATGTATTTGTTAATTAGAATTTATTATAACATGTATTAGGCTTGTTTGAAGAAAAAAATACCACATTGCTAGAACAAATACTATCTGTGTATTCCCTTTCACATCATCTGAGCAGATATTTTTTTCCCTTCTTATAATTTCTTCTCATCTGATTTGGGCAGATACTACTCTTGCTCTTCACTCCTAAAAATCAAAACTGATAAGAAACAAATCCGATATCCTACATCCTATATACATCAGAGAGTGATCCCCACTATCTCTATTTATCTCAACATGCAGCTATGCCATCTCAACATACACCCATGGATGTAAAAAAGCCCACCTCAACATGCTACATGCATGGAAATGATCCACCACAACATGCAACCATGCGTGTGAAAAATATTAGACTACGTATATCCCACAAATGTTTTATATCTATACAGTAATCAAATATTCATGTTTCAGCTTCATCAAAGAATATATCAACCAACTCCTACAACAAGGTGCATTGTATTATCTAGTCTATATATATGATTTAAGCCGAGCACCTTACTTGGCCGCTTTCTATGATCCTTCCAAGAGCCCTCTTATGTTATCCTATTTTGATAGCCCCCTTCTCTTGTGGGCATCCCTAGAGCTTTGTCACAAGTTTGTTTCTCTTACCGATGATGGAAAAGGATAATATATTAATTAGGTTTATGCATATAAGGTCAAGCATTTAGTTCTAATATTACTTAAAACTAAGCGCTTGACCCTATAGTTGGTGGGTAATTCTAAGTCATTTCTATAACTTTGAAAAAACATATTTTTTTCAATCATGAAAACCCCACAATAAGACAAAATATTATAGCTTTTAGGATTGAGGATTTTGTTCTTATTTCATTAGACTACAAGCTGGGTAAGATCTAAGACATGCACATCCTTATCGTTTTTTCTACCTTTCTAGAGAATAGCTTAGACCAATTATGTTGCTCCCATGTATGTAAGCACTTCTCCCTCATTTCTAATTTTGTAGACACGACCAACCGTCTAAGTAGGCACTGTTCATGACTACATTATCCATCAGGAGAAACATTGCTTACCATTATACATAACTACATCTTTAGTATGGACTATTCTTTTGCAAAACAAGCTAAATCAAAAAGGTAGAGAAAACGTGTTTATTGCCAACGATGAGTAATCGTAAGCACTACCTTCTAGTATTGATTAGTGTAAACATATGACTAATTTTTCACATCAAGTTAATTCATAGTTCAGTCCAATGATATGCAACATGTAGTGTTAAATTTTATTCCTTTATCACATGCTTTTGTTGCATCAACGAAGGCATGTGGGGAAGGCATAACATTTTAAGGTTGCTTGATGTTTTCCCATGAATTGGATTGTCCATTTATGCATGCTATATATGCAAGTTGGAGCTCATTTAAATTGATTGTTCATTACGGAACTTTATGTATTTTTTTATTGTGCGATACTACAAGACTAATTTCAGGTTAGCGAAATATATTTATATTTTTAGTAACAGTGCTATATATATAAATTTTCATCTATAGTGATGATGGGGCTCATGTTGTTATTAGAGCGTTTATGCAATCTTTAATTGTCGAGTATCATGCGATGCTGCAATATCAAGCTCGGTGACGAAGCTAAATCTGGTAGATCTCGGGTAGGGGGTCCCGAGCTTGCGGTCTTGGCTAGATGGTAACAAGACAAACCAGGAACACGGTGTATATCCAGGTTCAGGCCCTCTCCCAGAGGTAAAACTCCATGTCCTGCTTATATTATACTCCCTCCGTCCGGAAATACTCGTCGGAGAAATGGATGTATCTAGACATATTTTAGTTCTAGATACATCCCTTTTTATCAATTTCTCCGACAAGTATTTTTGGACGGAGGGAGTACTGATTGTGGATGGGGTAGAAAGTACTTGTTGATCTACCTCGAGATCATATCTGTGAATGAATCTTAATATCTTTTGAATATTATCTATCGGCTAGCCTAGCATCGTTTATATAATGTACTGGAGGCCTAGGATTTAGAAGAATCCTTTTCTTTTGCATCAAGTATTGTGGAATCTTCCTTGTATATATCATGGGTTGCCCGAAGAGGCCCAGTAATTAATCTCCACGAGGGTCCTTGGCCCGGCCCTCTTGGCCGGGAGACGACATGGTGAGTACTCCCTAATCTAGGACACCATCACTCTGGTTTCTAAGACATATATATCATAATTTTATACAAGTTTGCCATCTATATTTGTGATGAAGCTCAACTTGCTCCTGTAGTATTTGCATGATCTTGAATGTCCAATGTTGTCTTTCTTCATGTGACCAAGCTGAAGTTTTTTAGATGTAAATGTCACAACTTTGTACGCAGCTCGCCATGCTATTCATAAAAATTACATGTATATGTCTTCATCTTGGTTTTCTAGCATTCACATGATCTTGACCTTACATTTAACTAAGCCAGGGTTTCTTAATTTTAGTCTTTCATTGTTAAGTTCG